GTCTCTCAGCCCCTATCATATATCTCTCAGGCGTAATGTCAGTTATTTTTTACAATGCCATTACTTTGGCTCCTGGTTGAGGTTTTGAGCGCTTGTGTGAGGTGGAGCTGTTCATTTGGCTGGCCTTCTGTAGAGTATGTCTACATCATATGCTTTTAGTGTAATACCTTGTTGCACTCTAAAGAGGTGGTTCAAGCTGCAATCTAGAGAATTGCTTTTTAAAAGCCCACGAAAGATGCTCACAGCCCCAGAGGATGCTGTGTAGAACATAGGGACATGCCATTCAGTGTGAGGTTTTGAAATCTGTGATGTACAGGAAAATTAGGCACTCCTGACATCTCTTTGGATTTATTAAAATAATATACAGATCCAAACCTAGTCTTTGATTTTTTTTTTTTTAATTTTAAGTTTATACTTGAAAGAGTCATTGATTGACCTGTAGCAAGTTTGAAACAGGATACCCCAAAGGAAGCAAAATGTTTCTTCCTGGCCTCTGAGTCTGTCTGGTCATTGTTTGGAGCATCTTCCTGTTCTCAGTCACATTGGAAGTGGGGGTTAAAGCAATTGCCTCACTTGGGGACTAACCAACTTTTTTTTTTTCACTCACTTCCTACAAGTGGAAGTGTGAGGGCCAGCCAAAGGGTCATTTTAACACTTCAACGGAGAGGCTTTTGTCTTTGGCAGCACAATAGACTTCCAAACTTGGATGGTTTCTTATGTCTTTATTTATGTATTGTATTTTCAGGCTGTCCTGTATGCTAATAAACATACCCTTGATTTTTTTTCCTTTGGATATGGAGTCCAGAGATGAATGCCGTAGATCTGGTGTCTCAGTTCTATGGCTCCTCTTAGACTGTCAGTGAAGGTGTCTGGGTCTCCCTGGCTTCTCTTAGGAAGCTTAGCCTTTATGTAGTCCATTCGCTGCCATGTGTCCTGGAGGCAGTTTAATTTGGCAACATTTTCCTAAACTTAGGCCCTTCCCAATCTTTCTGACATCCTCTCTTAAGTGGGTCTCACCATGCAGTGAAGGCTAGCCTTGAACTTTCGATGATGGTCTTGACTCAGCCTCCATGCCTGGCTCCCATTCCTTTTTTTTGAAACTGATCCAGTTTTTCTGAACTCAGCTTTTTTGGACTCCCTTTTGAGAAGAATGCATCAGTGACAGGTACAGACTTCCAGTGTTTTGGTTTTTTCCCCCCTTTCTCTCAGAGCCAATGACAAACAAGGTCTTTAGGCAAGGAGATCTATGCCCTGTCCTGCCAGAGGCAAAGGCTCAACCCCATGTCTTACTGCTATATAAAACACAGTAGCATCTCTCTGTCTCTTGAGGTCGGTTGCCTCATTGCTTCCTGACCACTAAATGAAGATTATGTATATTTGGAGTTTCGCTAAAGCAGAAACCTACTTCTGGTACCATGTTCTATATAGTCAGGATGGGTTAAAGTCATCCTGTAATAACAAGCTATTCACAATCTTCAGTGACTTTACTCAAAAGTTAATTTAAAAAAATTTTTTTTTTTTTGCTCATACAAATATCCACTATGGATTTGTTCCATGCAGGGAGACTCAAGTCTTCTAACATACCACCATCTTATAGTTGTACGCTTCTTGGAATGCTTGGTCTTCTTGGCTACGTGGCGGGGAAATTATGTTTGATAACTCTTTTGCCAGTAGCTAACCTGGTTATTCATAGCCTAGAACTAGTTGCATGGTCCTGCCTCACAGATTGTGCAGCTGGAGAAGGTCTAGAAGGAAGCATGGATTCGAGGCAGATCCACTGTTCACCCAGGCCTTGTGGAAGTTCTGAGAAAGCACAGTGTCTTTGTGCCTAGAAAAATGAGGGTAGGCTGTGGGGTGACTGCTAGGCCAGTCCCAAGCTCCATAATGCTTAGTCAGCTTTGAGTTAGAGCTAGGGGAGGTAAATGCCCTGATCACCTCAACTGAGGATCTTATCTTGACAATGCAAATCCTCACAGTCCCATTGTGATAGATTAAATAAGCTTCTGAGACCTTATAATGAATTTGCATCAACTCTAAATTCTCTTATCTCATGGAGGTAGTAGGACTGGGTCATAGATCTCAGAGTGGCTCTCTTATCATGTCACCATCCAATGGGAACAACTAAGAGAAAGGAGCCATGATAAAGGGCAAGGAATCTGTGGTCAGGAATCTAGGTGATCAAAGTCAACTGCTTGCTCTGCTTAGTGTGAGACAGGGAAAGATTTTTATTCCCTTTCAGCCATGGTTGAATTTTATTAAGGAAATAGAATCACCTATTCCTCAGGTTGCCAAGAAAATTAATTTACACAAATAAGTTAACACCGAAATATAAGTAAAGAAAGGTCCTTTCTCAAATAAAAAATAATAAAAAAAATTAGTGCTATTCTGAGGGATAAGTCTGTGGTTTTTCTGCAGGGAGGATGATATAAGAGAGGAAGGAGGTGTAGGGGTGTTTAAAGTCTCTAATCTGATGTCCTGAGAGAGTGCTTTGGGTCAGCCCTGGGCTCCCAGGTAGCTCCAAGGAAGGTCTTTTCATGCTCAACCTCATGACCTCTCTTAAGTGCCAATCTCCCAATTTTTAAAAGGAGGATAAGAATTCCTTGATGGCATTAATAAGCATTCTTTGACAAAGTGTTTCAAAGAAGGTTAGGAAATGAGTAGGAAGCAAGGCAATGAGGATTTTCTAGAAGCTTCTCTGAGAAAGGATGGAAGTTGAATCAGAGCTGGAGGGCACCATTAGGTCAAGGAATGTTTGTGTTTAAAGTTGGGACATGCCGGAATATGTTGTATAGTGGGGGCGTGTGCTGTAGTGGAAAGGAAGGGAGTGATAAAGCAGAGAAAACTGTGGAAAGATGGAGATGGGCTTCTGGTTCTAGGAGGATGTTCTCCTGTGGTTGGAGGGAAGTCTGTATGTTTAGAGTTAGAAGGGTGAGAAACCCTCGTCAATTGCTTTTGTTTCCTCTGTGAACCATGAGGCAAGGATGTTGGTGGCCATGTGTATAAGCATTGGGAGTAGAAAGGGCAGCTGGAAGAGAAGAAATGTGTGGAATGACCACAGTATGGGGAGGCATTATGATGTTGGACAGTCTCTGGAGTCTTTGTGACCGTAAGCAGACAGTGATGAAGGCCTGTTTCAGTAACTAAGAGCTACTAGAAAGTTTAGTTAAATACATTAACTAATAATAACTTCTATACATGGAATAAAATATAAGCATTTTAAAGCTACTGAGAGATTAAAATGTTGATGAGGTAGAGTCATCTCCGTCTCTTAAAATGAGGAATGAGAATATGTGGCCTCCTGTGGAGGTGAAACTCATCATACTCCCTTGTTTTTATGTATAACTTATATGCACAGCAACCAATGCTAGTAATGAGTCTGCCTCCCTTGGCCACCTCCTGACCCTAGACCATTAAGGAGACATTTGTAAACAAAGGCTAGCCCGAGGATCTGGGACAGGACATCAGTGGCTTATTGGATAGGTACCTCTTAAGTATTGTTGAATTGGCCAATTTGCCACAGCTATGCATAAATGTGTTGTTTGGTTTTGCACGAGAAAATAGCTGCTAATCTTCAGTAATAATGCTGTGTCATTAAGCTAATAAACCTACAGAAATTCTGTCCTGATCAGTATTCTGCTGAATTATTATCATTATCTAGACGTTACCTTTAGGCTTTTAGATGTAGCTATTGGCTGAAGAGCCTAATTTTGAAGCTTTTTATCGGTGACTGAGAATTTCACTTCTCATCATCACCTTGGCTAGTTGAATGAGCTTTTTCAAAGGTCAGCCTGGCTACGTGTCTGCGACAGCCTGACATCACTGGGATAGCGATTCAGGGGCTGCTGAACAGTTCGTTGTTCTAATAAGGGTCTTCCCGTGGGCTCTATTCTTTGGGTTTTGTTTTGTTTTGACCATTTTCTATCATTTTGTGTTTGAATAAAGAGCTATTTTCATTTTGTAAATTACTGTTTGGGATAATGTGGCGCACACACTTGGGAGGCTGGAATAGCAGAATTGAGGCCAGTCTTGGTTATATAACATGTGTCTGTCTCACAAAAGAACAAAACACTCATGTCATTATTTGGGGGCATTTTTTCCCCCTATTCAATTTCTCTGTGTTAAGGTAAAGCCTAGCCATAATTGGGAATTTTGTGGTGACAACACAGCATATCTTAATGTTATTAATATTGATTCTCTTGAGGGATAGTTGAGCCTGGATGCCAACTCTCTGATCCCAAACACTGCTAGGATAGCCATAGAAAACTTATTCAGCCTCCCAGGGTCTTAGTTTCCTCCTGGGTCACACAGGGGTGATAACGCTATGTATATTAAATGAAGTAATATGTAAAAGACCTACATGGTCTGATGGTAAATGTCTGAAGGTTTCTTGTTAGAGATATGTTGAAAATATGAGAATTTAGAGAACATATCCACTTTCACTGTTAGGGTTTTGAAATAAATGGTTTATCCTGCAATAGCAATGGGAAGAAAGAAAATTTGTTTTCTGAACTAAAACTGATTCTAATGCATAAAAACAGAATTCTTTAATCATGATTTGATATACCACTTGGTAATAGTCTCTTAAGTATGAATGATGCCTTTATTTTTTTCTTAATGAGTGGATGGATGTTTAGTATTAAAACACATCAGCTTGATGAGGGTAGTTATGCCTGTGACTGTGAAAAAGCCGTGTGGGAGCCCCCTGTGGTTGTGGACCTACTCTAGATCTTGACTTTGGTGATGTGATCCTATAGGAGAGTTGTACAGAAGTAAATGCACACCTCTGATCAAACTGGAGAACTCTCAAAAGATTGAATTGTGTTAACCAAGTTTTAGTTGTAACATTTAATAGTTTTGTGAACTCTTGATGCTGGGGGAAACTAAGTCAAGGCCGTCTTAAACAACTGAACTCAAATCTCCAACAGTCTCAAAAGTCACTCATAACCAATGCACGCTCAACGTCTGTAGGATGCTCATGGATACTTTTTGTTTGCTTCCAGGTTGCTCCGGCCTGATTTCGTACCCAGTGTCATTGGCTTTTGTAAGTTGATATTTCTTTTTTTTCTTCCATTTAAAAAAATTCTTCCTCCCCAGTATTTTGCCTTCTCTCATCACAGGGGGACATGTTTGACTCTAGTACCCTTTGCCACATAATGTCAGTTAACATCCTAAGAATAAGCATGGTAAGACAAAAACTTTGGAGACTGTATCACGTGTGTCTGGTTTCTGGGACCCCCAAGATAGGTGAGACATGACTTTTCAGCACAAAAGTCAATATATTGATTTAGGAACTGTCAGAAGATGTTGCTATCATAATGAAAATAAAGGCACCCTGGGCAGCAACAGTAATTGGTATCTTTAAACTCAATTTACCTTATGAAAGTCTTCTGTGTCAAAATCAAAAATGGTACAAGGGTGATTGTTAACTGAGAAACAAGGATTTAGAAGGAAGCTTTATTATAATATGACTCCCATATCTGTAGTTTAGAAAGATTAGATGGATAGATGGATAGATAGATGGATGGATGGATGGATGGATGGATGGATAGATAGATGGATAGATGGATAGATGGATAGATGGATAGATGGATAGATGGATAGATGGATAGATGGATAGATGGATGAATGGATGGATGGATGGATGGATGGATGGATGGATGGATAGATATGGAAATCAGAAAGTTGGATGTGAGGACGGGTTGTTGAGAGTAGTACCATGGTTGGTTATTAAATGTAGTTATGGATAGAGGGCTTCAGTGGGTAGTTATATCCAGAGAACATGGTAGCTGGGTATAATGGGAGCAGTGTGAGGTCTAGAGACTGAACACTTGAAGCTTCCACTCTGCTACTGTTACGATTTCGGCAAGTCCCTCCACCTCACTAGAGCCCATTTTCTTCCCCTCTGAAAAACAGATTCATAATGTCTCAGGTAGTTATGAGGAAGAACAAGTTGTAAGATCTCCATTCTTTGCAAATGCTTCTGAAAGGTAGGCAGATGAATTGATGAGTGTGCCTGACCCTTGCCACGGGTTTTCTTTAAGTAGTACATTTCATGAGCACTTTTGAAAAATAATTTGATTTAGAGGAACTTAATGAGTTTCCAGAGAACCTCTATTGAGTCAGAGTGACCTATAATTACATGAAGCTGTTCGTAAGACTGGCTTCCTATAATGAAGCAAGTTCTTGTGGCATGCTAATTTCACAGTACCTTGTAAAAAGATTCTTGACAGATATTTCTGTCTCCATTTCAGAGGGCTAAGAAGACAGAGACGTTAGTGTAACCCCTTAACCTAAAATGAGTCAGTGGCCAGATTTAGCTTCAGCATTATTGATGTAACAGCCACTTTTCTTCGTCACAAGTCACCTTTCTTTCCTCCCCACTTTTTAGTTTTCGGAGACAGGGTCTCATCATAGAGCCTAGGTTGGCCTTGGACTCGTGGCCCAACAGCCCCAGTGTCTGAGTGGCACGCTGAGATGTTAGGTGTGTGCTATGACAGTCTACCCTGGCTGATTTCTGTCGCGCCCTGAAAGTAAGCTCAAGCCTTTCACAGAGGGCTGTTCAGTATCCTCTGTGGTGCCTCTTCAGTAGGTAAAGAGAGACAAGAATCAGTGAGTTGAGGGCTCAGGAAATCTGTGGTGAGCCCCGGGGACAGCACTGACGCTTGGTGTGGCCCTGTGGGAAGGGGGTGCTCTGCGTCAAGAAGTAGTAGCCTTTCCCTATCTTTCTTTCCCATATTGTTTATTTTCTTTTCAGTTTAGCAATTTTGAAAGGTAACCCCATCTCTCCTCGTGTTTACTCAGGGTGAGTGACAGACATGGAGTGAGCCACAAGAAAATGAACACATTTCATGAACAGGGTTCTGGGAGGGTTGCGTCAAAGGAGCAGTTCTGAATTCAAGGGCAAATTTAGAAACCCTTTTAATTATGTTTGTTCAATAGAGGTAACCCCCCTTGGGAAAACACATTTTCTTTTAGACTCCCTCTGGTTCACCCTGCTCCTGGCTAGCCCTCTTCACTCCCACAAATGCACAAACACTCTTTCACACACAGACCGCTATTGAGGACCTGGTTAGCCAGCTTGGGTGATTCCCTGGATCAAAGAAAACAAAACAAAAAAAAAAGTAACTGTTCCATCTGCAGTCCCACTTCTGATTTGCAAACAGAATTTATACAAACCATGCTCCTCTTTGAGCTGTGTGGCCTTCCCTGGGGGTCGTGCTTTTGGGAAAGCTTAGAAATTAGAAATGGCAGTTTTCAGTTGGAGCGAACAGGAGCTTGCTTGCTGGGAGTAACAGGTTTGCTGTAACACAGGAATAGATGGATAAGGGCGGCACATGGGGCCATCCAGGGCACCTTTACAACTTTGGGATTAAAGTTTCCAGAGAGTTTGGGTTCAGTGGCATGAAAAATTTCAGACCATTAAGTGAGATCATCGCTCCTAAAGATACAGGATGGAGGAAGAAAGGGAGAGTGAGACCGAGAAGAAGCTTATTTATGGAATGTCAGAGGGCCATTGAGGCCCAGCAGGCCCTAGAAGCCTAAGACTTCCCTCAGTGCTTGTTTTCTCCCTCTGACCTTGGATGAACTAGTGAGCAGTATATTATGCCAGACGATTGTGTCGGTTTGTCATGGTTAGCATTCTGGACTGTCACTGGAATGTAGAAAACGGATGAATTTGAATGGAACCATGAGGTGGTCTGTCGGGCCCTCTCTCCTGGTCTCAAGGAGACCTGTCGCAGTTTGTCTGGGCTGGGCCTAATGAAAGCTTTGGAGGGAGAGAGAGGTAGGCCTTTGATCCCTTTGTTTCAGCTGCTCCCTGGGAACTCGCTGAAATCAATGCCCTGTTTTCCTGAAGGAATGAATGGCTCTGTCTAACCAGCTTTGTAAAGCTGTAGGGAATTCACTGCTTCTGTTTATTGACAGCTGAAAGGGGGCGCATGGGGTGGAATGGACCTTCTTGTGAAAACCAGGCACAGGGAAAATTAGACCTCAATTTAACACAGAGGAATTTGGAAATTCACCCCAAAGGAGCCGGGAGTTTCTCATGCTTACGTTAGAATGACTTAAGTTTGGGGCTAGTGTGCAATGAACAATGGAGACTTTGTCACAACTATGCTATAAGTAGGAATATGGTCTGCATAATGAATGATGGGAAGTAGAAGTCCATTCAACAACCCCCCCCCCCCCCCGTCTCTTTTTAAAACACAGACATAAAGACAAATGTGAACCGGGATATAATCAGGTGATGCCTTTTTTTATGTTAGGAGAAGCATGAATATTATTACATATGACTTCTCCAAAGTTTGTTTTTCATTTTTTTTGTTTCAAAACATCTTTGAACTTGAGCTCTAAGTTCATGCCAGGGACTCAGACCGACCATCCCATGTTGTGTGATTATTGTGGGAACATAATGATTACTCATCAGAAGGTTTTTATAGTCTTAGAATGTTGTAAATGGAAGTGTGTGTCAAATGTTAATGAGACGGAGAGTGGAGCGAGCTAGCTCATGGAATAACAATAGTTTATAAGTCTCAAAATGACTACCTTCCTTTTCAGAACATAGTAAAGAAAATTCTCCAGTTTATCTCGAGGAAATATCTCACTCTTTCCTAGCTGTCTCCCCTTACTTGCTTCATTTCCCAGAAAGAATTTATGACTTTTTCCCTTGGCCCCGGCCCTTTGTGCATACCTCGATCGCAGCACTTACCACATCCCCCATAGCTCTTTGTTTAGGTGCATTCTCTTAGCTGGAAGGAAGGCAGCTGTGCCGTATTCATTTTTATATCTTCAAGCCTCGCAAAGCTCTTGGCTCACTAAATGTGGCTGAATGAATAGGGATTGATGGCTCCCTGTACATTCCTGTGAATGTAATTACTTATGCAGGCTTCAACTGCAAATACTAAATTTTAGGAAAACCTGATTGGTCTATTGTACCTGATCAGTGCTGTTACTTTAAAAAAAAAAAAATCTTCCCTTTAGGGAGCATACCCAACACTGGTGTTTTTTGGTTTGTTTGTTTGTTTTGTTTTTGCCTTAGTGAGTTTGTGGGGTGCCTTCAGCCCTGCTAGGAGGAGGCATTGTCCTTTGTGGGGGCTAGCTTCTGTTTTCACTCTTTCCTGAGAGATTCTTGGGGTCATGTATCGATACTTTCATGAGGAGGATGAAAAAACTTTGAAGAGTTCTGCAGACTTTCACTTGACTAAATGTTGTGTGGCTCCAGGAGGCACTGGGATTTGATCCCGTAACTGTGCTCTTCACCACACTGCTTATAGACTCGCTAAGCCAGAGACCACTTCGGGACTAACCACTGGCTTGAAAATGGCAGGGTGACATGTGACAAAGACATCCATGATGTCCCTGAGCTCATGTGTTCTTTGTACCTAGACATGTGTCCACACATACCATTTCTGTTCCCCCTCAGTGCCTTTTCTGGCTTTTCCATTATGTATCCCTCTAAGGTTGCTGTCACTCCTGACGTGGCCTCTGCCTCCAGTGTCCTCTGGGCTCATCTGTCCCCTGCATAGGAAAGTAAATATGTCTTCACTAAGCTGTCAGGTGCCTGCCCACTCAACTCTCCCCTGGCCAGTCTCAAGTCAGCTCTTGTTTGCTCCCTGAGTCGAAGCTCACACTAAAACCTTCCACCTCTCCCACAGTAGAAGGGGTTGTCATAACATTCCAGAAAACACTGTCAGACACTTTGATTTGAGGAACCCCAGGCCCCGAATGGAAACTAGAATTGGGGGAAAAAAGGTTGGGAACTTATGAAAAACTCTTCTTTTAAAAAGAAAACCAACCATGAGTGCTTCGTGCACTCATTTCAAGATAATGGCCCTGAGTCCAGCCTTAGATTTCCTATCCAACATTTTTGTGGGGTTCCCCTCCATATGTATTAGTTCTCATGTGCTGCATGCCTTTAATCCCAATACTCGGGAGGCAGAGGCAGTCGGATCTCTGAGATCGAGCCAGCCTGGTCTACAGAGCAAGTTGCCGGACAGCCTTGGCTACACAGGAAAACCCTGTCTCCAAAAAACAAAAGAAAACAACAACAACAAAAAAGATTATGGATTAGTTCTCTGTCCAACCCATTTTAATGGAGAAAAGTGATAGGTGTGTCCATTTAAATTCCTGTTTTCCAACCCACTCTATTTGTAACCCACATACTTTGCCCACCACCACATTCAGGAGAGAAAAGTTAGCCAAATCCAAAAGTGCCTAGTGAACTGCTTCAGTATGTCTTGTGAGGGACTGGGTGATACTTGTGAGACCAATTCATTCCAGGCCTATTTGTAATTGGTTTCAGTCATTAAATATGATACCAAATTAAAAAACACAGCAAGTGCTGTTACACTGCTTAAGAACTAGGGAATCTTTTCATATATGACGTACAGAAACAGGCCACAGTAGTCATTTATTTTAAAAGCTTACGTTAAGAGATGGGATAATGATCCGCACTGTGGGAGAGTGATTGCAGTGAATCAATTTGTTTCTTTTCATTGTGCATATTGTGCCCGAATAAGTTATTAGCACCTCTTTGTTATGAGATTACCCTCTGTACAAGATCATTCTTGGTACTTTTTGGTACCCGGACTCTGTACCCATCACTCTGCCCCTAGAGGTATGTGATGTATATTCTAATAACATCTCTGCTACAGCAGATATCCCCACTTTACAGGAAAATTCATGGAGTTTAGAGTTATACATTGTGGCTAAGGTAACACACCTTCCAAATTATAGAGTCACCATTCAGACCTAGAACGATCCACCTCTCAGACTGCTGCCATTTCTGCTACACTCCACTGTCTGCCTTGGGGTCTACAAAAGAACATTGCTCTCCGTTTGCTTCTTTAATCTTAGGAGCATAACTTTATACTAAGTTGGATATGTGTGTCCCACAGTGGGATAAAATAATAATAAAAGAAATTATTGTGCCAATTTTAGATATGAAAAATTCCTACCTAAAGAATATCATTAAAATTACTTCCTGGGACTAGAAAGATGGTTCAGTAGTTAGGAGTGCTTCCTGCTCTTGTAGAGGGCTAGGACTCAGCTCCCAGCACTCATGGCAGCTCTCCCAGGGGATCCAGCACTGTCTTCTGACCTCTGTGGGGAGTAGGTTTCCTATGATGCACTCACATACGTTTTGGGCAAACATTCATACACATCACAAATAAGTAAATCTTTAAAACTACTTCCCATCTCCATTAGCAATTAAAAAAAAAAAAAAGGAAAGCAGTGAATATTCTCAGAGGGGAGTGTTGAATATTATTAAAATTAGCCAATGTAGCACACTTCCCGATTGGTATTTAAAACAATACTGGAAATGATGTGTGTTTATACCATAACAAATGTACTTTATTGAGAGAATAACATAATTGACCCATTACGTAGCATTTACCAAGGTAAAATTCTTTCTTTTTATCTCAGCAGCAGGAATTAAAAGTGATTCATAAAGCGCGCACACAATCACCATGTAAATTGGAGCCACATTAAGATCACAGCCATTTTAGGTGGTTTTCTCTAAACGCTTCTCATCTGGCCCATCTATTCAGTTCACAGTGCGTCGGAGAACTGCTGGTTATGATTCACAGAAGAGTGGCAACTCTGTAAATGGTGTTATAGAAAAACCGCAGAATGGTTCCGTTATTTATTTTCATTTTTATTTTATTTTTTTGTGGGCAGTGTTTTGTTGGTGGTAGTGATATTCCGCCTGCCCTCCCCATGGGAATTACTGTTTACCTGTTATAATGTATATAGCGGTGATGAATCCAGAGGCATAATCTCTGCCTACAGTGTGCAGTCTCTTTCTGGAACACAAGCCTGAGCACACTGCTTTCCTGATTAAAAACTTGAGTGGTTCGGATTAGGCAGGTCTCTTGGCAAGTGACAGAAACTAACGGGACCACTGAGGAATTCCAAACAGGCAGGTGACAGGAACGTCCTGGCATGTCAGTAAGACCCACCCTGATAGGGCTGTTGTAATTTAGAATGAAGGAGAGCTAGTCCAAAAACGCAGGGACCAGTGTGGACCTCAGTCTCCAACATGTGGAAATCGCCCTTTGGTGGCCCTGACTTCAGGCTTCTTGCTCACCAGGCTGGTGGGATGTTTCAAAGAAGCCGCAGAAAAGTTCTGTCTGGACCAGTACAGTGGACTGGTCTTTTCTTTAGTATTCTTGCCATTTGTTCCCCCCAAGGTTTTAGGTACCACAGATGGGAGAGTAGTATCCTTAGGTGGCTGCCCTTGTTACTGGGGGCGGGGTGTGCCACTAACTGGTTCTTTATTGCCTTCCTTCTGGGTCTCAGGAGGCGGGGGATGCAAGTGACCATAGAGACTAGACTCTATGACCAGAGTGGTCCCACTTACCCCACTTGCCCAGTATCTTAACTTCCACATTCTCTTCCTCTGCCGTCTCTTCTTGAGTACAGTTTAGCACAGGCCCATTCCTCTCAGAATACAGAGAGCTGGGGCTTTGGGTTCTAGTCCGAGTGGACCATCTTAGCCGACTCCACAGTGTCACTCACTGTTCCACAGGGACATCTTCCTGTGTCGGGTCATCTTCCCACATGTGCCCCACTGTCTCCACATACTCTTTAGCTATAGAGCATGTTGAGGGTTCTGCCATTCCAAACATTCCACTGTGGCCATGTGTCCTGACTTACCCCAAACCCTCTTCAGCTTTTATCAAGGCCTTTGTAAACCTCTTCTTTAGGTCTCAGGCATCCAGCCCCAGATTGAATTGGAATTTGCTTGGAAGATCTGCCTGACCTCAAACCCTGAACACTGTCCCCTTCCCCCAAACTCAGACATGGTGTTAGTGCCTCAAGTGTCTTTGAATCGACCCACCTGGTTTCAAGTACTTTTTTTTTCTTCTTCTCTGTGTTAGGGGTAGAATCTCCTGTCTCCCAGAGCACCTCGGTTCTAGCTCCCATTATTTTCATCGTAGGGAAATCAGTTGACCACTCCCTGTCCCAGCTTGTTGACTAGGAAGCCTGTCTAGCTTAGGAAATAGGGTTTCCTGGACCTCAGCCCGCAGTTGCTCTGGCCCCTACCTCTTGCCTCTTCCAAGTAGATTTCCCTCTGGTTTTTGTTTGTTTGCTTTTAGCAATTCAGAGCTTTAGATAAAGGCCTTAGAATAACACCATATGCCTTTCCCTTTCTAGGTATTTGCATAGGAATCAGAGGAGTTAATCCTGTGAGTATACTCTAACATTAGCGCACCATCCCGGGGCTTCCTGCTCTATTTGCTTTAGGGTGCGAAAACACCGGACTGCCCCAGGCCACCCTACCTTCAGTGGCTGTGCTTCTCTCTGCAAACCCAGGTGGCCTTTGTTGTTTGGTTTTGACAGGTTGGTTTCAGTCCTAGAGGTCCTAGTCTAAAGGAGAGGCATAATTCTAAGGGAGAGTTTTGGCTCCTTCCTGAGGTGGCACCAGTAAATCTGAGTCTCACTGAACACGGTCAGTCACCATCACTGAGACTACAGCCCCCAGAATGGCAACCTAAGGAATGCCATCTAGACCAGTTTTAGTTTCCTTGCTTACACTAGCGGAGTGTTTTTTCTTGAACCAAGAGAGAGATTTTCATGGCGCCTGGAAGGTGAGGAACTGACCCTCTGCCCTTCCATATATCACAGTACTGCTGACTTGAAGCCTTGCAGCTGTCGGCCACAGGGCTGGGAGTGGAGGCTGGAGTCCTCGGAGAGGTCAGCTTCCCTCCCTCACACGGATGCTCCCACGCAGCTGTCTGGTTAGGGATCTTACCCCCAGCCCCCTTGCTGCATGGACAGATTGCATTTTCCTTTCTAAACTGGGTCTAGAGTGACATGGGGAAGGGAGGGAAGAGTCTCCCCCCCACATCCATCCTCCCTTCCTGAGTTACTATAAGTCCTGCTGAATTCCTGTGACAGGTTTAAATGTTAACAAATGGACTTTAGGTCTTGCCTGTTTTCATCTGGGAGAAAATATGAAAGATTGGAAAGCTTCCACCTGTTTAAAATGAGCTAGAGAGGACCCCTGTTGGCAAAACAAAATAAAATTGCCAAGTTTCCCACCATGCTGATTTAATGGCCACAGGAAAGGCGCTTGGACGGTAGGGGATTGTATAAGAAGAAAACAGATTTGAGAAACAGTAATAAGCACCCACGATCTATGCAGCATGATTACGTGGGGGAAAAAAAAAACCAAAAACAAATCTAAGGTGAGTGCAGAATTTCTGACTGTGTAGAGGCCTAGAGGTTAGAGTGTCGGAACAGCCTTTCAGATCACACACCCAGTTCAGCTGTTGCTGGTTACAGGGCCCAGCACGTTAGCATATTTGCAGGTCTTCATTTGTCCAGAAATACAACAGGAGTACTGCTCACTCTTGTGAGTTTTCAGGGGGCTAAGCACTTAACACCCGGCCCTCCCCTGGTGAGCATCCAAGAGTCTGCAGTTGTGACTGTACAGTGGTGTCCCTAGCTAACTTGGTCGACAGTGGAGAGGAGCCACAAGAAGGTTTGGAGGGGAAGTCTCTGCTCTAGAAGATTCGTGATCCATGGAAGGAAGAAGCTTTTGGGATTTGTAAGAGAGTTCAGGACAGTGATTTGGGAGGCCTCCGAACTCAGGACGTATTTGAAACCTTGAGTCTTATGAATGGGGAATACAGAGATTATTCTAAAATCAGAGAGCAGAGGCCAGATAATGAGGTCCCTGGATCTATTAAAATTTCATGTGACCCTTGGTCAGCCTGCCCCTCTGTAGCATCTTAAAAAAAAAAAATCCTTTGGAAGAGAATGTGGTCTCCCCTAGGGTCTCTTCCAAGATAGAATCACTGTGATAGGACTTAGTTGTCTGTAAGCTTCCCAATTGGTGGACCCCACTGCACATGAGATCATAGTTTTTAAAAAATAAAAAAGACGTACCTGAGAGGCTTTCCCAAGCAAACCCTATACACCTTTACATGAGAGAGGAGTTTTACTGAAAACTAGAGCAGGTTTTCCAGTGTCTGGCACTGCCCAATTCCTTCTCACTCAGACCCTTAGAAAAAATAAAAATTAAAAAAAAAAAAAAGTAAGTTTCAAGCATTTGCTTAACTCAAGCCAGGAGTAGCTCAACATGAACGAGCTGAAACTGGAAGAAATCCCTTTGTTCAATTGGAGCTTTGGTGAATGCTCAGCCAGTAGAGAACCCAGTTCATTAACTGGGGAAAAGGTACATTCTAAAATGTAAACATACCGTGAAGGCAGAAATACACGCTAGAAACCATACACTCTAGGTTGGTGAAGCGTCCATTTTTGTTGTCCATGAATGGCATTAAAAATCCATTTAAAATAATGTAATTCTGTTGACCACATGCCAAACTCCCTTCTTAGAAAAATGTGGTTTTTTTTCTTGCTCTTCTGGAACTCGGGACACCGCCTTAACATTGTTTAATTTCACAGGGTCATTTTCACCTCATGTGGTTTTTTTTTTTAATTGACATTTGAAAAGGATTTTTCTCAGCTTTTGCAATATAAGGCCTGAAAAGTGACATTCTGTCTAACTGAGATGGGTGTTTTTTTTTTTTTTTTTTTTTTTTCTTGATGGTCTCATCTCTGCCACGTTACATTGTCGCATGATGCACAAGATGGTCCCCTGGGCCCTGTCTGGCCTGTTCCAGGTTCTCCCCCTCATTGTTCAGTCTGTGTGTGTGAGGCAGTGTTGAGTGGGCAGGTGGTGAAGTCTGAGGGGCTTGATTCCCTCCCTTCCAGGGCTCCCCCTTTCACTGCTGCTCATACTGTGCAGCTGAAGAATAAGCTCCTCTGCGGGTCCGCTGAGGCCAAGTATTGTTGAATGCAGAAAGGAATGGCTTTCTCTTCATGATGATTTGAATATTTTGACAATAAAGCCAAGCTACTCTACTGCCTGGCTTGTGTACCTCGTGTTCTGTAAGCTCCTTCCTAGGCAGCAGACTCGAGTCCCCTCCTGTCTGAATACATAAATCAGTATTGTCCGCTGGGGAGATGGGCAGACTCAATGAAGAATCATCCAGACTAATTTTATTCTTTTGCTTTCATGTGTTTTAAATCTCTTGGGGGAAAAAAAAAGTTAACACAGGCCTCTGGGGACCACCCAATTAAATGACCACAGTCAGCGTGGAGCGTTGTGAGATGAGGTGAACCATGTACATGGTCTGTTTACATGTGCAGACTGAGGACCAGATGGAAAACAAACAGATTCAGACAAATTCATGGTCACCTCCAGTTTTTTTTTTCCTGAACTGTATTTGATTATTTTTTTTCAAACTTGTCTAAAGAAAGCTACAGTTTTTCCACTTTTTAATTTAAAAGGATGTTTATATACAAAACAAACAGACGTAACCTTTTGATCAAATTAAGAGAACAGGCGGTCAACTGAATAAACACTTAGATGAGAGAATTAGCTTTTCACAATCAATCGTTTTCATATTGGTTAAGAAAATCGAGGCATCCTCCCTACCCACGAAAATCAATTTGGCAGAATAGTCTGAGTTGGAAAAGGCCAAGTCATGGACTGGATTGATGAACAGGGATGTGTGTGTGTCTGGTGGTACAAGGTTGGTGTGAGGACCAGGTTACTGAAGACTAGGGAAAGAGATCAATTTCCAGGGCCCTGGTCATGCTCTTTCAGTCTGCTGATTTGTGAGGTGGCCTTGGAATTTGTTATTTTTTTTAGTTTTTATTAAAACAAAAAGATTTCCTTGCTAATTCTAATGCATAGTCAGGTTTAGTACCCACTTAACTGCATATTCAATTTAGGGATGTCAGCCTTTCTGCAAATTTGATAAATCTATATGCTTACATAAAACTCCTGTTGCAAATGCATGCCACCCACTCACTGCTTTCTTTTGATTCATAATTTGTTTCAGGTTCTGTTACTGCATAGATTTGCATACCTGTTTTACGGCATTTTAATATTGTTGTTTTAAAAGAAACACCATTTCCTCTGAGTGCTGTTTTGAATATTTTATGTAAGCAATTTCATATGTTTTTTTTTTCCTGCTTGCAGAAAGCAGGGGAAAACTTCAGAGTTCTAATGTAGTTGCATGTAGGACAAAGGATATACTTTAAATTAAGACCATCAATTGAGATACTTGAGACGGTGTAGGGAACTGCCTTGATACCACACTGGGGTGGGGGTGGGGGCAATGTGCTCTCAAAGAAAGTTTCAGGTGGTAGAATCATGGGGGAATGTTCTTCTAGCTCCATTCCCTGACGATGTCCAAGGTGTCTTTCCTTACAGGTTCGAGTCTTCAGACAGACTTCTAGAGGACTCCATACCTGACCAACAGCTGACATTCCTGGTCGTGCAGAAGGTATGAAAATTTAAAAATTATTCCTCTCTGGACATGTTTAATAAGAATTGCTCGGAGCTGGATGTGGTGGTGCACGTGCCTTTAATCCCAACATATGGGAGGCAGAGGCAAGTGGATTTCTATGACTTCAGCCTTCCTGGTTTATAGTGGGAGTTCCAAGCCAGCCAGGGACACAATCTCAAAACACAAAGTTGCTTGGAAGCACATGGTAAACTCAGGGATGCAGGGATGCAATCGAGGTGCAAGATACCTCGTAAACGGCACAACGCTTTAGGAGTCTTTTGTCAAAGCATCAGTCTAGTCTACATCTTAGGGACTCCGGTGATGCCATTAGCAACTTTTCACATCCTCTGCGGCCCCCTTACCCTGTCTGCGGCCCCAGCTCTACCTAGCAGGTCCGTGACATTTTCTGCTGATAATCCAGACAGTTCAAAAACCCATAGACTGATGACAGACCTGTGTACTAAAGATGTTGTCCAGTTTCTCTCCCCTCATGGAAGAGGATCAATCATAAACCCAAGGAGGCTGACTGCATTCAGCCAGGGAGCCCACTACCCATTGGAGAGATTGATCTGGAAACATTGGTAAAAAACTATGGCTGAAGGGCTGTCTGCTCACCCAGACAGCTTGCGTGGGGAATAAAAGAGCGCATGGCTTAGCTCAAGCTTACTGGAGTAGCCTCTGCTCTACACTATCCTCATCAGAACCATTGCAGAAGGTTAATCCTTCCCAGGAACTCACCATGTACTAGGCACTTTCTTAGTCTAGTATCTCATTAGTAAGGACAGGGAAATCAGTTCATTGAGTGTCAAATACAAGCACTGATGCCTCTAGCTGTATGGTAGGGCTTTGTGTAGAAATTAAACTGAATACCGTGAGAAGGCTTTATGAGCTCAACTGACACACTATAGTATTGTTTTAAATATTTTGTTTCCTTTGGAAAGACAACTGTTACTAAATACTATTTTGATTCATTAACCGAGAACTTGAAATTCATAACCAGGAGGGTCAGCACTATCTGCCAAGAACCGGCAAAGGCCCAGGGAGTTGTTAATTAGTTTGGGGAGGCTAGAGGAGAGGAGTCTTGACTCGTGTCTTCTGTTTATAGTGTACATGACTTCAGAGGACAGAGTATGTGATAGCCAGGGAGATCTGGAATGTGTCTGCCTGGGATTCAGGCGAGAGCCGGCAGGCTGAAGACAGGAAAGGAGACAGCTCTCTTAAGGGCCTGAAGGGGACAGGCCTAAGCAGGATGTGTACCAACGTGGGGAAGGCAGAGAGGCTTAGGGGGAGGCTGTGGGTTCCTGGGAAGGGGCAGCCTGTATGCCTCAGTGGGAAGTTGGGCTTATTGTAAGCAAGGTGCCTGCCCTGTTGGAGGCTTGGCGCTCAGAAAGGCAGATGGGGCCGGCTGTGCAGGAGGAGGGACCACACATGTGGATTGCTCCCACAGCTACTTAGAGAGTTCACATTCTTCCCCCCATTGAACCGGGTATGATTGTAATGGTCTGTTACACAAACAAAGGACCCAGAGCCGCCAATGGGGGAGGAAAGAGACGTAAGGTTAAAAAAAAAAAAAAAAAAAAAAAGACGAGGCCCGCCTCGCTAGTGCTTCTCTCCTTTTAAGCTTTTCCCCCTTTTTAGAGAAGGCCATGCAGGAGCTTAGAAATGTTGTCTCCTTCTTCTCTTTATCGTCCCTTTCTTTCAAAGCAGAAACCCAATAAAATGTTTACCAGCTTAATAAAAAAACACAAAGAACGAGACAGGGAGAGCTGTGAAGGTCCAATGATTAAATACTTCTACATTTCAGATTTATTTCTAGATGAACAGTTTGCTTGACAGATTAAAGAACATTCACTTTTTTCATAGCACAGACTCAAAGTTCTGGATAAGCCATCCACGGATAGAGAGCTTTTTAGAAATAATAGCGTACGTTGTCATTTAAGAAGTGCCCGTCAAATGTGTGTCTGGGGTGATTTGGTCCTGGACTCAATCTTGTGTGGAAAAAGATTCATCAGGGGCTTCTGAGCAGGGCCTCGGATTTCCTGTTCCTTTCTGATAGTCATGCAAGAGAGAGCAATGACTGATGGCCTTTCTGTTAAGCAGTCTGCTGCTGCCAGGCCCTGACCTCCACAGACTCCCAGCTCCCCCGGAGATAAGTCTTCTTTCCTGTGCCTGAAGGGCCTCCAGTCTGGACTCTTGGGCTGCACTTTCCCTCACCTCATGCCCCCAGGCAGGCTGAACCCTGGGCTCCCCACCGCCATCCCCTGTCCATCCCTCTGCTCTTCCCTTTTTCCTCCATCTCCAGCACACGGCTCCTCCCTTTCGTCCTCCTTGTATATGGTATAAACAGCCTACTTGGAGGCTATCAGAACTTGGGCTGTGCAGATATTCAGCAAAAGCAGCAAAAAAAATTATACCTTCTGATCATCCAGACTAGCCTACAGGCACGTGGGTGCCCACACTCTTGGTCCCTTCCTGTTTATCTGGAGAGATCACTGTCTAAGGCTACACTGACCCACTCAACTCTTGTTGACAGTGTAGATTATAAGTTTCTTCCAGATACTCTTAACTCATGGATCTGGCTTCCCCTTGTCAGTGTACCCGATTGCTTTTGTTTTTCTCAGTATTAGCTATAGAAGCGCAAGGGTCTAAAGGCCAGTCAGAAGGGATTTGCAGGGAGGGCACAGGGAGAGGAGGCATATGTTCTCAGCTGTCACAAAGGAACAGTCTCCATCCCTGACTTTGATGTTCAGATATCTGCTTCTAATACCAAAGGCTTTTGTCTGGATTGGCGGGCTTGCTCTGCAACCCCGTATCTCACACCAGGCTACCTAGTCTCCATCAAGAAATAGTCTTAAAACAAAGATGACCCTTCCCCGCTTCAGAGCGAGTCTGGGACTCCACACTTGTCTTCCTGGACGCACCTGTCTATTGGGCTCATTTGAAACATTCACCCTTTTCTTCCTGAATCCTCCATTTCAGAATTCAGTGTGCGACGAGGTGGGGGGGTGGAGGGTCTGCAAAGGTAGCTCCTCTCTTGTTTTCTTCCGTCTCTCAACCCTCAGAAGGCCATGACACTGTGGGGATGGAGCCACCCCAGCCCCTGTGTCCACTCTGTAGGAAGAGAAGGGGGCTGGTGATGGTGTTGGGGGCGAGGGAGGAGGGGGGGAGGCTACAGACGTGTGAACGAGGCCGCTCCTACGTGGTGATAAGTCCTACACTCGGCCCACCGGAAGCAGCTGTGGTGGTATGGCTCCTTCCTTTGGGGCACTTTGAGGTTCATATACTTCCCATTCCAGCCAAGATGCTTTTGCTGGCCCTCTCTACCTATTGTTCGCTCTTCTTCCTTTCTCCCTTCCTGTGTACAGAGCCGGTGATTGGCGTGGGCGGATAGTGTCTTCAACCCACCGAATAAAAACTTAACTAGTTTTTAAAAGTAGCATATAAAGTAGTCATTGTACCACTTTTATGTATACTTTTGTTCTTCCTAGTGCGCCTTCTCCACCCCTCCCCCATTCTCTTCTCCCTCCTGCTGCCCACTCCCGTCCAGTAGCCCCTCCTTCTGCTTCCCATGTCACATGTGTTCCTTTATAGTCTCCTTTTTGCTGTCCCCCACCCCATCTCTTCTTTCCCTTTCGTGAGCCTCTTTCTGGTTTCTTAACCTGCAGACAACACACACACACACACACACACACATGCACACGTGTACAAATGCAAATCCAGGATTAGTGTATGAGAATGGAACAACAAAGAAATCACAGTTGTAAAAAAAAAAAAAAAAAAAAAAAAAAGCCAAAACCCTGCTCTTTGCCGGTGGGTCAAGCAACCGAAGGTGGTAGTTGTTAGCCGTTTGGGTCTCCTTTATACTTCCGCTGTACATATACAAGTTCCTGAGAGGCCTCTGACTAAGTTTTTGTAAGTGAGACTTAATTCTCCTTTGCTTATTTTTCCTCACTATAGCCCATCCCCTCATTGTCTCACCCTGAAGGAAGCTGGGGAATTTATGATGGGCAGAGAGGCTCCTGTCGTTGGGGCTCTGGGAACATCGTGTCCTCACGCGCTGGCTTCCCTCTCCCTTCACAGCCCCAAATAGAATAGTTCAGTCCCGCTGCAGCCTGCCGCAAAGAAAACAAACCTCTCTATACCCCAGGGCTAGCGTACTTCATCATCCACCCACCCTAGGGAAAAGAAACATTGACTACCATCTTGTGCTTTCTCCGCTGGTCCAGGTACTAAGCTAAGTCCTCTGCTCACAGAGTAGCACCAGAACCTCTTCTCTCGTACCACCCAGCGCTCTCTCTGTAGAGACAGAGCAGAAACCTAAATGGTCTCAACATCTCTGGCCCCGCCAGCTACTTTCTCTTAGACCTTTATTATTATGAGTAGAGGGTCATTAAAAACAAACAAACAAACAAAAAACCCAGCCTGATGGAAGCCTTGTATACTTAAGGAGGAGTATCAACATGGGCCTCATTGTCCAGTAACACAGGAGGACCCTTGAAGATTCATTTGCTCTTCTTGTCTTTGGTGGAGTTTCAAGAGTGGCCAGAGTAACTTCCTTGAAGTCAGTCCACATCTTGAACTCCATCGTGTTCACACTATTTGAACAGAAAGCATTCATTCCTTTATCAGACGTCGGGGTCGTGTAATGTGTTCTATATCTGAAGCTGTGGTCTAAGCAGCTAGAGTGCTTTGTCCATGTAAACTTGGATATTAGATGAAAAAAAAACTTCACTTCGTCTTTCTTATTATGGGCTTTATTTCTAAGAAAATAAGAGCTTTCGCCATTGGCTTAACAATTAATGACAGTTGAAAGGAACCCATAGGCCGCAAACCCAACTGTTCAGCTGGCTGTGGAGAGCCTTTCCTCAGGGGTGGTAGCAGGGCAGTGCAGTTGGGGGGGTTCCCACCCTTGTGTGTGAGTTCCAGACAGATGTGGGTGGAGATGTCTGCTAACCTGCTAAGTGAACCCCGCAGTGTGGCATAAGACTTCATTCCTT